ATCACATGGTGAGTAGACATTGCACAAGAAGCATGGATAATTCTCCGTTCCCCACAGACCATGGATTGCCAAAAAACCGTCCCCTTCAAGGACATTAATTTTCTTAAAACAATCAGAATTCCAAATGGTAATTAATCCTCCAGAGGTTCCCGTGGCAGGTGATGCCACCCACTCCATATTATCTGAATCCCATAGACTTCTACACAAACTCCTATTTACTTTATCTACTTTTGTTTCTTGGAGGAACAGAATCTCTACTTTATGTTTGATCACCATCTCCCGCACTTCTCTCTTTTTCCCACACCCTCCCAACCCTCTAATATTCAAAGAGAGCAAGATCATGAAAATTTATCAAGCACCTGGTTAGGAGCATTTGCTCTGTCCTTCTTTTTTCTTACTTTATCTCGCATTTCCATCTCCTCGAGCTTACGCAGCACCAGTATTTCGTCCCCTGTTGTTGAGACCCCCAGATCCTTAATTCGCTTCCATAAAGCTTCTGTGCCTCTGATGTTGTCTTTCACTGTGATACCCCTATTGCAATTCTGGATATTGCTGTCATTAATGGAGTCACCCGCCACTGCTTGATCCGGGTCTGCTTCAAAGGCAACCTGCTGTGTCATCTGCTCTGTTACAAGCTTCTTCCCCTTTTTCTTTCTCTGTAATTGGAAACCTTGTAATCCTCCCGATTGCATGTATACCGTGCGGCACAATTTCACTCTTCGATTTTTCCTTTTTTCCTTCTTTTTCTCCCTTGTCTTCATCCATTCGGATAGCTCCCCTTCATCACTTTCAGAGATCTCCCATGTGAAGCCTGTATCTTTTAATGCCATCTGCTGTCTCCTTTTTTTAATTTCGTTAGGCCTTTGTAAGGCTAATGGGTTTGATGAATTCCCATTGTCCTTTGGTCCATTACTACTCTCCTTGGGCTTTGTTGTATTTCCCGATCCAATAGGCCCATTTCTCCTCCTAGCCTTCCACGACAGGCCCATTCTATTATTTGCACTGCTTTCCCAAGAGCCTTCTGCGCTGGAGCCCTCTTTTGAATTGTTTCCAGTCCCCATGCCGTTGCTGCCATCTCCCAACTTTGAATTTTGCTGTCTGACATCCTCCTCGAGCCCTACGAGCAATAAATGCTTGTTGGATGTTTTTACAGATCTGCCCGTTGCAATCCCTTCTGGTTCCTTCCTCTTTGCCGTTTCCTCCTCCTGCACGTTATCTGCAGATTTCAATTCGTCAATTATGCCAGTCTTTTGCTTTTGTTGACCATTTTGAGTGTTCACCAACTTCTGTGTTGATGTGTTGTCCGGTGTGCATGCCACCTCATCAAGTTTCTTTTCACCTTCTTCCAGCACTGTTTCCGGTACCCATAGTTCTACTGACTCAGTTTCAGCTTCTGCACCTTCCCCTGTATGCTCGGTTTCCGAGCCAATTGAGCTGTGTTCTTCATCGCCGGAGCTCTCCTCTGTGTATTCTTCCTCTGTGTGCTTGTCCCCTTTGATTTTGAAATCCGACTCCATTATGTAGAAGCCATTGCTGTGTTCCTCCTCAAAGAACTTGATATGGTACATAACCCCATTCACCTTAATATCTAAGGATTTCGAGATGGATTCCTTCATGGGTGTTGTTATGAGAAATCTGGCCACATCTAGGCGTTTTTTCCCACTTGTGCTGTCATCAAGAGATACAAAAGTACCCCAAAGGTTTCCAAAAGATTGGAAATATTCTGTTTTCCATGCATGTAAGGGCAATCCCAAGCATTTTATCCACACGAACCTCTCTACTGCAACTGTGGTTGGTGACCATGGTTTGATCTCTGAAAACCAGCATCCTAGCCAATCCCAGCCGTTTTCAACAAGCTCTTTTAAGTCTTCATAGTCATGCCCTTCTAGTAAGACCATTTTACCTCCCATTGCTCTGATTTTACAGAAGAAAACTCCCTCCATGAAGAATTTCTCTTGTAATGTTGGAATCAATGTTGCAGAGTGTACTATCCCTACAAAGCATTTCTCCAACCATTCTGATTCCTCCTGATTAACCTTGAATTCCATTCCAGACCATGCTGGATTTTTTTGTTTTGGCCGCCATCTCCACTTTCCTTGCTCCCTCGCCCTTGATTTCATGATATCCTCTCTGTACATTACTCCCTGTTGCTGTCCCTGTTTTGCTTCATAGCCTTGATTGTCTGTGTTCTTCCTTTGTACTATCTCTGCATATGTTGGTTTCTGCTGGTTTCCCGTCTCCAGCGGCTCCAATCTTCTCATCTTGTTGGCTGTGGTCCTGTCTCTATGGATTTCGTTCCTTGTCTTCTCAAAGAGTGGCCTATTTGCATGTAGCTTGAACCCGCCAGTTTGTATCTGATTTAGCCTTCGTTCCAACTCTCCAACATTCCGCACCTCTAAAAACCTGACAAAGCCGAACCTTCTCCCCTTGCTGTCTCTCTTCTTTGGGCAATCAATATCAATTACCCGACCTTCTCCCAGCCTATTGAAAGTTCTCCACATCTGTTCAAATGTCCACTCTTCCGGGAAGTTTGTGAAAAAGAATGGAATTGCTTGGTTGTAAATTCTCTTGTCAAAGCCCCCATAGTGCTGTTGTGGTTGATCCCTTCTCTCCAGGCGGTTACCCTCAAATCGCTGTGCTATCCACGTCCCTCGTGCTCTGCTGCCGATCTCCGGTCCTCTCCTTCTCACTCTCTCTCTCATCTCACTAACTCTTCAGCCGTTGTGATTTTTTTTGTCTGTCTGTCTATTTGAGTGGTAAAATATAAAAAATATATATATATATATACAGTGAAACTAAACACTAATAATATTTCGGGTGGAAAAGGATTTAAGAAAAGAAAAAAGGGAAGGAAAAGGAAAAAACTATCTCTTATTGTATAGCTCATTCAAAAGTATAAATAAAAAAAAAAACATTAATAATACTTTTGCCCGATTAAGGGCTTGTTTGATGTGGCTCCTAGGAGTTTCAGTTTCTGGTCACTATTCATGTTTCATGAATTTAAATTTTCCTCTTAAAAACTTACACTTTTAAATATTTTTTTAATTTCAAAAAACTCTTAAACAGTAAAACTTCAAAAAGTTCAAAAATTTCAAATCCAAACTTTTCATAAACTCTTTTTTTACTTATTTTCGCTCACTTTTTCAGCTTTCTAAAAGCTAAAACTCTATTTTTCCTTCCAATAAAAATTTAAATTTATCACACATAACAGTACTAAAAAAGCAAAAGCTCTCATAAGCTACACCAAATAGGCTTTAAATAAAAGTGAAAGATCTTACAAAAAAATACTAGTTGGTGTGAAAATGGAGGACATGCAAGTGCTAGAAGGATGTTTTTTTTTATACATATTAAAAAAGGACTGTATTTAGTTTATATAAGAAGAAGCAAAAAAAAAAAAAAATGAAGATGACTTTACAAAGAGAGATAGAATAAATAAAAAAAATCACTTGGGCTGGTGTTGTATAAGGACTAGCTGCTGTGAAAACAGAGGGCATATATACAATCATCACAAGCACTCCTTTTGATCATATTGTGCCAAGAGCCTTAAGCCTGATTATAGGGTTTTTCTTTTAAAATCATGGATCAAAGACTGTTCAGATTGTTCGAGGCTGCAACAATGGGAGATGTTGCAGAATTAAAGGCTTTGCAAAACGAGGATAAACTTATTCTCAGGAGAGTGTCTTTGTCGTCTACAGCAGAAACACCACTTCATGTTGCTTCACTTGCCGGCCATGTTGATTTTGTGAGAGAGATCATGAAGCGGGTGCCTTCGTTTGCGCAAGAGCTTAACAGGGATGGTTTTGCCCCAATTCACCTGGCAACGGCTGCAGGGCACTTAGAAGTAGTGAGGGAGCTTTTGAACAAGGGGGATTCTGACCTGTGTTTGTTGAAGGACAAAGCAGGGAGAACGCCACTCCACCATGCAGCCATGAAAGGGAGGATCCAAATCATAGATGAGCTGCTATCAAAGTGTCCTCATCAAAAAGCCATGGACCAAGTGACTCCAAACGGTGAAACTGTTTTACACTTGACAGTGAAGAACAGTCAATTTGAAGCATTCAAAGTCCTGTTTCAAGCATCAGAAAAGCTAGAGGATCATAAGGGGCGAGTAAATGCAAAAGATAATGAAGGTAAAACAGTCCTTGAGATTGTAAATGCCACAAATCAACTTCAGGTATCAATATCATTTGTTTCAGTTCTCTTTATTAATTCAACTATTAATTTCTTCGGTGCAATTTCCATTTTTGGATATTGACATATTGAATTCAAAGAACGATACAAGTACATTAAGGTAAAAATTAAAGTAAAAATTTTGGATTGTTAATTTCATAGCTAGGAGGACTGATCTTGTTTAATCAGTTTGCATATATATATATATATATATTGATTTGATTACAGAAACTAACCAAATAATATTCTATCACCGGTACCTTTCTACAAGCTGCAGATGTGTTCTTTCTAGCATAGGTTATTATATATATATATATATATTCATAGGCATAACATGAAGGCTTCTCTATATTATATTCTAGATTTTGTACTACTCTTCATTTAGATTTTTTACAACCTCACAAAAAAATATATATGACACCCTTGCAGGTGTTAGATTTAATTCGACACCAAAGTGGAGACCAGATCATTATTGTAGAGGAGGAGACACAACTTGATGGGAAAGTAGAGGGCAAGCAACTTGATCTGAAAGCAAAGGATGTATTTATAATTATAAAAGATATCTTTACGGATAGTTGGGGTATGTACTTAAAGGATAAGGACTTGCTACCCGTTATGGCCGCAATGATAGCAGCCGCAACGTTCCAAGCCGGATTGAATCCTCCCCCAATTATCTGGCAAAAAGGAGTCCAGATTGATACCAAATGCATTAATATTGCTCATTTTTTTAAGAACTACATGAAAGATCCTTTTGGGTTGAACATAAAAGATCCTTTTGAGTTAAGATCGTGCCCGGCTTCAAGATTCTATGGTTTCATGGTGTGCAATACCCTTGCCTTTGCTTCCTCTCTCGTCCTCATCCCTTATCACCAGCAAGCACTGTTGGCACCGATAATGATAATTACTTCACTTTACACCGTGCTGTACACTTACCTCATCGTTCTGGGCTCCATTTTTCCAACCGTATCTGGCCTTGTATTTACTGATTACGTAGTGTCACTTAGCCTTATTCCTCTTATTTGCGTACCATTGGTTGTAATGCTAAAAAGATTACTGAAAGGACCATGATTGGTGCATACCCGGATCCCACACCCGGGTGTGCACCCCACACATAAAAAAAAAGGTTGGATTGGGTGATGGGCATTTTTTTTTTGTTTATATGGGAGGTGCACACCGGGTGTAGGATCCGGGTGTGCACCCATCATTTTCCTTACTGAAAATATATAGAAGCCTACAAAGCAAACGGTGAGTTTGGTTTAAATGAATTCCACCATTGTTGGGGAACTCATTACTAATTGTATACTTATCATGCTTGGTTTGTTAAAATAAAAAATAGCAATAATAATAATAATTGATTTTTAATTATATGATTTTAATTCTATATACCTTGTGTTTATTTTGCTTAAAAATTTATAATGTTCACATTTAGTTTAATTTAAAGCTATAGAATTAAATTCTAAAATTATAAATCATGAGATTGAGCTAAGCTAAACTAAATGTTGTTAAATTTAATTGAATTTGCATTGAATTAATCTTACTAAATGAAATAAATTCTATTTTTATTTAGAGCAAACACACTTAAAAGCTTTTAAACTTGAGAATTTATTTTCATATTGAATTCTTAAAAGCATTAATGATAAGTTCTAATTTATTTGTATACCAAAAATAGTTTTAATTATCGGATGGAGTTTGGATCTATGTTGTAATGAATTTAACTTTGTTGTTTGGCAATATTTCGTGTCTCGTTAAATTGACTTCGACTTTTAGAAAAAAAATTGAAGAAACGGATGGGATTCAAGTGCTCTATTGAAAGGGTGAGTAATGTAAGTTCCCAGTTCCCACCAATGGTTCATGGAAATCAGATCAAGGGTAACACCGTTGTTGTAAGAAATTTAGATATTTGTTAGTATAATTTCTTTCCAATTAATTTTCTAACATGGACGGAATTAATTTAAGCAACAGTACTATATATTCCAGCTTTTTTTTATTTTTTTCCCTTTTGCCAAAGTACGTAGCAGGAGTTATGATTATGCTCACACAAATAAATATTATGGTGACATAAAAAGTTTATAATAATATTTAGTTTACCTAATTTAATTAGTTTTTTTTACCAACAATTTTATTAGTTTATACTTAGTTATTATGTTTGAAAATATTAGTTTATAAACTGATTTTAAATTGTTAAACAATAGCAAGTATTAATTATTCAATTCTATCAGTTATTAATTAATAGTTATAATTATCAACTAGTTCTCGCAATTTAAATCTAAGACAGACAAAAAACAAAATTAAAGAGTGGAGTTCTAAGGAGTTTTCTCACCTGGAGACTAATATTAAAGAAGCCAAGGTATTGCTAAGCTTAATCTTAAAGCTGAGCACGCACAATTGTTTGAATAGGAGTTCACTACAAGTAAAGGTTTACTCCTAAATCTTTGGAACGGGCTGAAATCCAAGGAAGGAATGGGAAGATAGAAAGCGAGAAAGGCATGGTTTAAAGATGGAGATGCAAACTCCGAGTATTTCCACAGGTGCATCAAAAGTAGATAGAGGAAGAAGGAAATTAATTGTATTACAATTGCTAGAGTTCAACTCAGTAAGGTACATGAAATCAAAGAGGGTGTAACCAAGTACTTTGAAGAATTGTATGGAGAGGAAGGTTGGGTTCATCCAGTCTTATGAGTTAACTTTAAGCTTATGAGTTAACTTTAAGCAAATATCTGTGGACCAAAACTATTTGCTTACATCTCCATTCATAGAGGAAGAAATTAAAAAGGTAGTATGGGCCAGACTGTGGCACTTGTAAGGCTTCAGGCCTGGACGACTTCAATTTTTATTTTTTCAGACAGATGTGGGAGGTTATAAAGAATGATGTGATTGGCTTTGTATAAGATTTTCACAAGAATGGGAGATTGGTGGCTGGCTCAAATGTCTCTTTTATTTCATTAATCCCCAAAGTCAACAACCCTCAAAAAATTGAAGAATTCAGGCCTGTCTCACTCATTGGTGTAATGTATAAAATCATTGCCAAAATTCTATATAATAGGCTTTGCCTGGTCATGCCAAATATCATAGGAGAAGAGCCAATAGCATTTATCAAAGGCGGACAGCTTGCTGATGGTGTTGTCCTAGCTAATGAAATCATTGATGAATCTAATGAAATCATTGATGAATCTAAACGCAGCAAGAAGCCCAATTTCCTTTTTAAGATCAATTTTGAGAAAGTGTTTGATGAGGTAGATTGGTCTTTCTTGGATTACATGCTTATAAGAATGGAATTCGAAGATGTTTGGAGAGGTTGGATCCATGAATGCTTGTAGACTAGTATGATGTTAGTACTAATTACTGGAAACCCTGGAAGACAATTTAAGATGCACAGAGGATTGGCACAACGAGACCCCCTATCACCATTTTTGTTTTTGGAGGTAGCTAAAGGCCTTAATGGCATAATTTCCTCGGCCATGGAGAAAAAAATGTTTGAAGAAATTGAAGTGGGGAAGAATGGAGCTAAATTCTCACAAATCCAATTTGTTTATGACACTATTCTTTTCAGGAAGGCCTCTAAGAACAATATTTAGGCAACCAAGTGTCTAATGAAGGCCTTTGAAGTAGTCTTCAAACTGAGGATAATTTATTCAAAAAGCCAATTATTGGGAGTCAATGTGCAAGATGAGTGGATGCTGAAAATGGCCTACTCACTAAACTGTAGGGTAGGTAAAATGCCTTTTAAATACTTGGGAATTCCAATGGGAGGGAACCAAAGAAGATTGGAGCAATGGCGACCCTTGATTGAATCATTTAAGAAGAAGTTGTCCCTTCAGAAAGGTCGGTGGCTCTTTCTAGGAGGTCGAATCACCGTGTTAAACTTTGTGCTCACGTCTTTGCCAATGTTTCTCATGTCTGTGTAATTAATGCCAAAAGGTATTATAGAAATCATTGATAAGATTAGGAGAGACTTTTTATGGGGTGGGTGTGAGAAGGAGAAAAAAGTTCATTGGGTTAATTGGGACAGTGTGTGCAAGAGTAAACAAAAGGGAGGCCTTGGGATAAAAAATATAAGAAAATTCAATTTAGCTTTACTGGGTAAGTGGTGGGGCAAATTAGCTAAAAGGGAGAATAGTTTATGGTTTAAACTTATCAAAGAAAAATATGGGAGAGAGTTTGACAATTGGGTTACTTAGGTTAGGGAAGGAAAAGAAAGAGGTTCAAATTGCTAGAGAGACATTTGTAGGATCGATGCTTTAGATGATAGATGATAGTAATAGAGGGTGGCTATCTAAAGGTTTTGAAGTAAAAATTAGCAATGGAAATGATGTGAACTTTTGGAAGGATAGTCGGTGCAAGGAGGGTGTCTTAGCTAATAAACTCCCAAGGCTTTATTTTTTTATTTATAGGTACAAATAATAAGGCTAGTCAAATGGGAAGCTGGCAAGGCGATCATTGGTGTTGGAACATCCCATGGAGATGCAAGTTTCAACATTAGGAACACGAGGCACGAGACCAACTTTTCCAAATATTGCAGAAGGTCACAATGCTTCAAGGTGAAAAACATCATTTGATCTAGACGCAAACAAAGGAAGGGGAATATTCATCTAAATTGGGCTATCATCTGTTGTCCTTTTGCCAAGATAGCACCATTCATCTTGAGGTAGACAGAATATGGAACAAAATTGTGCCTTTCAAGATTTGTGACTTCGTATGGCTTATGCTCCCAGATAGACTTCCCACCAAATCAAATCTTTTCAAGAGAGGTATATTAAGCAAGCCTTCGAACTAGTTGTTTTTGCAATGAACACATCGAAGATAGAGACCATCTATTCTTGAGGAGCAAAGTATCATTTGTACTTTGGATCAAATGTTATAGATGGTGAGACATTCAAACTGCGGGTGCTGATAATTGTTGGGAATCATTTGTGCAACATGAAGGCCTAATTCTTGCTCCAAGATTGAAGTCGAGATGGGACATAATTTAGTTCGCGTTAACGTGAACGATTTAGCTCACCAAAAAACAGGGTGCTATTCAATAGCGAAGAGTTAGACACAGATAGAATGTTTGATCTTATTCAAGTAAGAACTTTTCTATGGCTAAAATATGGAGGAAAAGATCCACTCTTTTGCTTCTCGGATTGGCTATTCAATCCTAAGCAATGTCAAATTGTTGGCTGACTTTATTATGGCTATTTTGGGACTTCCTCTGTAACTTTTCTAGATATGGGTTGAGTACCCCTCAACCCCTTGTACTCCATTAATAATACTATTAATTTTGCCTTTCAAAAAAAAAAAGTTCTTGCAGTTAAATCAAACATAATTATAATATTTGAGTGTGGCCATAACTATGTCAAAATTGTAGTTTAGAAAACATGTAAGGAAAAACCTAATGTGAAGCCCTTGAACTTATCTCAGATTCTCAATTAAGTTTTTAGACTTTTATCAAATTAAATAAGTCCCTAAACTTATCGATATGAGCAATTTAACCTTCTTCTTCTTTATGGCAAACTTAACACCTATTTACACCTTATTTGCGTTGATAAGGTCAATACTCACCACATAAGCAATAACATGTCAATACCTTGTCTATGCATGTGATGCACAAATTGGTGTTAAATTCACCATAAATAAGAAAGGCTAAATTGCCTAAATTGCAAAATTCAAGAGTTTATTTGCTTCAATAAAAATTTAGAAACTTAATCAAGAATCTAAAATAAGTTCAAGAGCTTAACATAGGATTTTACCAACATGTAACACCATTGTAGGTGTAAGGTTTCTTCAGACAACAAAGTTGCCTTTAATATCCAAAGATTATTGTAGAGGACAACACTCAACTTGATGGGAAGAAAAACTTGAATGGAGTTAACAACTTAAATAACTTAATGGGAATCTCTTTTTGTTAGGGTAATAGGTTTTGACTTTAAATCACATGACATATAGGCAGAGCAGGTTAAGGAATGAGAAAGTAATGCCTCTTGTTATGTAACCAAAAAAAAAAAAAAAGAATGGAAAGGAGAAAAAAAAAGATCAACTAATAAAGAAATTTTGGAGCCCTACTTATAGGTGGGGTGTTCATATCCATTTCCAATTAATTGATCCAACCTCAAAATTGAATCAAATTAATTAAAATTACATAAAATTA